AGTCACTTTTGGACAGCAAAAAGTACCTCATTTTACTCAGAATTTAATGCTGATTCCGAATATATAATTCTTTTTGAGAAAATTTTTGGGCGAGAAAATGGCCTTACCGCCACTTGTCCTTTGTTGTAAAAGTTTCAAATCTTGTCGCTATTTCTATCCATAGATAGAATTATAATAATAATGTGTCTTTTACATCACTCAGATAAACTATTAGATTTGATGTTTTTGTTTTTCGGATGGAAGTAAATCAAAAGACCGGAAAGTTTCAAGTGAAATTTCGAAAATCAGTTTTTCTGGTGTTCCTAAACCGGACTACGACATTCATCTAAAAGATACCATACAGGTGCAGTATCTCCGTAGCAATAAGCTAAGGGCTCCAATTCTTTTCAGGATATCCATAACTCATTTAGATGTGCATAATGCACATAGTCACAAACGCAGAAATGATTGAACAGTTGGAGGACTTCCCTCATTAGTGAACATAACCATTTATCGTTACCAGTTTCTTGACAATTCACATTAATAAATTTTTCTATTTCATTTTCTTGATTTTTTACACTTAATTTCAAAACTTCATCGTCATCGAATTTTTCATGAAAATCAATACATGTTTTAAGACATGTTTCGAATTTTTGCATAAAATTTGTTGACTCACTTTATGTTATTGAAGATAAGGATGCACCACATAGATGTATAATACTAGAACGATTTGGCATTGAATCTTCTTGAGCATATTGCGTATACCATTATAATAATCGACAGAATGAGCAACACACAAAAATAAAATTCAACGATCTAATACCATAAAATATATTCAGATAGAAAAAGAATATCATTTAGTTTATTTTTATTTCTTTAGTTAATTCTGTATCAATTTCAAATGTATTGGAATTATTTTAATTAATTGTTGATATATCACCAAGTGATTCTTCTTCTTTCGCATCACCTTCTTCAACCAGATACATTTGATTACAAACTCAATTATAAATCATCACACTTTATAATCTTCTTTTAATTGTAAATATGGTTGATTTAAATCTGTCAATTCTCTTTTAGTTTCATCTTTCTAAAGCGAAATAATCGTTTTTTTAAACATGAAATAGAAAACTAATGTTTATACTCGACGTAATACAACAAGATATTCTTCACGTAATTGGTTATCTGTATCAAGTGATTTATTAAATTTTTTATTTGAATTTGTTTTATCTAAAAAATGCATAAAATTTTTCATGTTTAAAACAAATTTTAATCTACTATCAAGTGCATGTATTTCTTTAATCAATCTTTGATTATTCAATTGATGATGAATTTGTTTTCCAATTTGTAAACGATGCTAAAAGAAAAGTTCTAAATGAATAAAAGAAATGTTTTTGTAAAATTCAAATAATACATTTCTTTCAGCAATTAATTCGGCATCTTTAGCAGCAATAGTTCAATGTAAATGAGTAGTACTTGCTTAGCATTAGCATTGCATTAATTTAGTACCTTTTTTTTAAAATGCTTTTGCATTAGAGTTAAAAAAATACCTTAATGCTTTTGTGTTAGTATTAAAAAAATTAATTAACACTAGCATTAGTTATGAATTAGTATTTGTATTAAAAGTATCATCAATTAATACTAATGCTCACGAAAAAAAAATATTCAATAATGCAAATCTGATGTTAATTATAATTCAATATTAATACTAAAGTATTAAATAATTTTTTTTAACACTAATAGAAAAAAAGGATTAAATTTTTTTTCTTAATTCTAATACAAAAGTGTTAACGTTTTCCTAATACTAATGCTAAGCCAACACTCCTAATGTAAATCATCGATTTCAGAACGATTTTGTCTTAGCATTGTATCATATTTTATTTAAATCATAAGATATGTATTAGATTTTTATGAATGTAATGTTGTTTATCTGTATTAATCTTTGTTCAAGATCAGATATGTTTTGTAAACTATGAAGAAAAATATATTATGAAATATTCTGTTTTTAGATATTAGGAATTAAACGAACTAATTATACATAGTTCCATTTTCTAATAAATTATCATGGGCTATGGTTGTTAATGTTGATTTACTCTAAAGAATAGATTCTTTACAAATAACAAGAAAGTTTAATTCTCAATCAAGAGTAACATTTAAGTTTTATTTTAATTATTCTAAATAATAGCTTATTAAAAGTTATAACACACAATATGAACAGTTTTTCATGTAGTTATTGCAAGAAGAGTTGAAAAATTGAATCTAAATTTTAGCCTTGGTATTATTTTTACTTTATGAAATGAAATACTATACGGCGTCATTTTATCTAAATCAAAATGAATGATTATTTATAAACAAAAATTCATTGTATAACGCCTCTTTTCATTTCAATCGATTAAGATAACATTTGATGAATGCGAGCAAAACTACAAATAATTCTGTTAGTACAATCTCGGTGCAATTAAAATATGAAACTCAATCTATCTGTTCTTGCTAATCACAGAGAGATTCTATTTTGAAACACATTTCTTCACTATCATTTTAATTAATTCTTAAGAAATGTAATAAGGAAGTAGTTCATATATTACAACGAGACGTTATCCAATATACGATAATCGAAATTTTATCTCTATATATCTACACTTCATTTAGATGATGTTTTACAACACTTAGAATCTCATATTTCTATTCGAAATCTTTCTGATAAATTTAGTAGTCAATTTTGTTATTGAATTCGAATAATATGCATTCACGAAAGAACCTCATCAAGTGATACTTTTCATTTGAGCCCATAGCTGGGATTCATAGTGAAAATAAAAATCCTAAAAGGATTCCTTCCATTAGGCTTCTTTTCGAAATTTCCAGTCTATTCTAGAGTATTACGAGAAAAACCAAAGCAAAAAATGTCAATCCGAAATTTTACTCAAACATAGATCTTATAGTCCTTATAATATCCTGAAAGTTTCAGTCAAAATGGATATTTTCATATCGAGATAACAGATTTGCAAATAAGGCCTTCTCTCATAAAAGATTCAAGAAAATTCGATTGTTTTAAGGATTTTTCATCTTCAGAAGAAACTATTCATTTTTGCTAAAACTTTCAAAATATGATAAGGACTATAAGATCTATGTTTGGGAAAAATTGCAGATTCAAATTCCTTGATTGGATTTTCCTCGTAATACTTTACATTATAAAACCAAATATTCATAGGACTCATATAATAATAGAATAAAACGAAATAGTAAAATAATAAAATTATTTTATTTTGTAGTAAATCATCTAGTAGATTATAATAAATCAATATAATTGTGTACTTCACTAGAGCTTTCGACCCATATCAGAAGTCA